TAAGGCATCGTTTCCAGGCCTTTGACCATTTTGGTTGCCCTCCTCTGGACACGTTCCAGTTTGTCAGTGTCCTTCTTGAACTGTGGTGCCCAGAACTGGACACAGTACTCCAGGTGAGGTCTGACCAGAGCAGAATACAGTGGCACTATTACTTCTCTTGATCTAGATGCTATACTCCTATTGATGCAGCCCAGAATTGCATTGGCTTTTTTAGCTGCCGCGTCACACTGTTGGCTCATGTCAAGTTTGTGGTCAACCAAGACTCCTAGATCCTTTTCACATGTACTGCTCTCAAGCCAGGTGTCCCCCATCTTGTATTTGTGCCTCTCGGTTTTTTTGCCCAAGTGCAATACTTTACATTTCTCCCTGTTAAAGTTCATCTTGTTTGTTTTGGCCCAGTTCTCTAATCTGTCAAGGTTGTTTTGAAGTGTGATCCTGTCCTCTGGGGTGTTAGCCACCCCTCCCAGTTTGGTGTCATCTGCAAATTTGATCAGGATGCCCTTGAGTCCATCATCCAAGTCGTTGATAAAGATGTTGAATAAGACCGGGCCCAAGACAGAACCCTGTGGCACCCCTCTAGTCACTCTTCTCCAGGATGAAGAGGAACCATTGATGAGCACCCTTTGGGTTCGGTCAGTCAGCCAGTTACAAATCCACTGAGTGGTAGCATAGTCAAGACCGCATTTTACCAGCTTCTTTACAAGAATATCATGGGGCACCTTGTCAAATGCCTTGCTGAAATCTCTAAACCACTCTAAACCACTATTTAGCAGTTGATCTGCTCAAATTTTTCACAGCTTCAGACTTGTCAGTCTACAAAGCTGATGGGAAACTCTTTCGCTTAGTTCACATTTTCCGTTAGCTTAGGTACTATTTACACAGTGTCTGGGTTTAATTGGGAAGACTCAAAACTGTTTCTGTCTTGCTGTGCTATTGCAATTTTATGGCAAGTTTTTCCAAGAAAACTGTTTCTCTCTAGGCTACCAGTTCCTGCTGTCATATAACTGAGCTTGAAAACTGTGATGATGAAGTATTTCTAGCCACCAGGAAGGAAAAGACAGACAGAAGAATTGGGTAGCAGTGACTAGATCTTTTTGCAGGGGCTGGGAATCAAATTTCCAAAAAGCACTATGTATAGTAATTTTGAAGAAGTGTTTCATTTTTCAGTAACTGAATTAACAGAGATGGTGGACTAGTGCTACTTTACTTCAGTAAATTGGAAGTAGCTTTATTTCCAATGCTAGCATAACATAGATTTCTATACCATCCTTTACTGAAAATTATCAGTGTGGTTACACACACACACACACATTTATATTATATTATATTAATAATTTCCATAAAATATTTAATTATATAAAAAGCAAAATTAAATATACCATTAAAGGACTGAACTCATCAGCCACTAAAAGCCTGCTTTAAAAAGTGTCATTTATTAATTGGTGTCTGAAAAAAATACAAAGTTGGGATGAGATACAATTCAGTGGGGCGGTAACTCCACTATTTTGCAATTATATATTTGTAGGAATTGCCAGACAGCTCAACACATAAAATCCTAGAAATGAATACATTTTAAGAATTGAAAGGATATATAAAATAAAATGCAGAAACACAGTAAAGCATCTTCCCTTTATTACTTTTATTTTATTTTATTTTATGATATTTTATTTATTATTTAATATTATTGGAAGGACGATACAGCACAGAAGTGGGCAGCATCTTATTAAAAGAAAAACAGAAATCGTCTTTTAAAAGTAGGGAGAAGTTAGAAAAGCACAACTTGGGATGTGCTTACCCGAGAAAATGTAAGCAAAGGTTCCTGCCACTTGTTTTAGAAAATGATGAGTTTTAAACAGCTTGCTCCTGGATGTACTTGCCTCTATCACCACTGAAGTCAATGCATGATGTCATTAATGTGAACACTTATCTCAGTGAGAAGCCCATTATATTTATTTGGAGTTTTAACTGAGTCCCCTGCTGGCTACAAATAAGGCCTAGGTACTTTTCTGCAGAAAAAACACAAATGTGACTTGTAGACACACTCAGATATTGATTCATCTGCATTTAGATCATTTTGCTTTTTCTTCTGGGTAATTCCTAGGAAATAGAATATGGTCTAAGAGTGGAGGAACTTCTTTGACATGTGAATATTTTTCTATACACCATAATCACTTCACACAAACATTAGTTTGCTTGGTCTGTAGAAAGTGCCAACTCCAGCTAGCGCATAGCTCCTGGTGTGATTCATGTCAGACAACACTTTACGCATAAATGCCCACTATAGGGGGGGAAAAGATCCGGATGCTATAATGCCTTGTTTTCTTTTGTACCAATTACCAAATTGTGTAAATTACAATCTCCACATTAGCATTTCTCTTATGATTTAAACAAAAATGAAGCCTTACATGCCTTTCATAGTATCAAAAAAGAAAACACTAGTGGGCAGTTCGTATTTTTATGACTCCTTCAATCCAGGAAAATCAGGTGCTCAGACAAATCCAACACACAACGTCCTTTAATGTTGCTTTTAATTACAAAAAGTCTCAACTGCACTTATATGAAAGTAACCCCACTGAACTCAATTGGACTTACTTCTGAATAGACATGTATAGGATTGCATAGTTAGTCTCTTCTCCACTCCCCCAAAAAGAATGGGCTTCATGAGATCACTATAGAGTTTTAGCATGAAGTTTACCTCCCAGTCCCTACTTACACCGGACTATTATTCTTCTACTTCAAATGATTCCACATGCACCAGAGATAAGCTTTTCCAGAGAAGCCAAACACTAATTAAAATCGTGTCCAAAATGAGTTATAAAATAATAGCTAGTTCAATAACACACATAGTTAAAAGCACAGACTCTACCCCAAGGCTAAAAAGTAAACACAGTATTAATATATACACTTACAAAAAGTTTGTGTTCTTGTACTGCAAGCTTTATGAACCCAAACTGAATTCCACCAAGCAGAATTAAAAGAAGAACAACCTAGACTGAAAAACATTCAGAGATGTTCCATAGATTGAATAGACAAGAGGTTGTTTGTTTTGAATGGCAAGACCCAAATTCTATGCTACCTATATTGTTCACAGAAAAATTGAAATGGATTGCATTGTAATGGCTGGCCTGATGAATACCTAGCTAGCTAGGTTGTCTTTGTTATTAGAGCAGAAGATGAAGTTGACTATACAAAGAGAACCCAGTGAAGTTTTGCCAGGAGACACAGCTTAGAATTCAAGCTTATAAATGCAATAAATGAGATTAAAATAGATATTAATTTAAATGCATTAGCGATGAGAATTTGACATTCTCAATCTCTGGGCTTCACAGAACCCCATCAGGCCTAGAAACAAAAAATATCGGTAGCAAAGCTAGGGATTAATTTGAGAAGCATATTCAAGAAGCATGGCCACAACACCCTGAGCTAGAGAACTGATATTTCACATATCATGATATCTAATGTGATCACCGGAGACATATGATGCATCTACCAAGCCCTTTTTCTCTTATTCTGTATAGCATATTTCCCCCATCAATTTGTATGGAACAAGAGAAATAGCTGGGGAACTGTTATCTCCCTCCTCACAGACATTTTTAAATAAATAAAAAGAACTTCCAAACAACAGCACGAGGCACATGACTGAGGTTTGGCTACACATGTAGTCAATGTGTGTGTTCCATGTCTATAGCTATGGCCATAATTAAAGTTTAGCTTGGGAACCAAGCATGATGCAGCATGCTGCAATTAGAGTGTTCTTTGTATGAGTTATCCCAACACATCACACAGCCCAATTCATTAGCACTGAAGCTTCCCCAAGGGAGCTGCCGAGTCAGGCTGCTAAGAGACAAGGAGCTTGCATCGCCTGCCCTTCCCTCCCTTGGCATAACCTAGCTTTCATCCACCACCAGCTGCGCATCCCTGGAAAACAAGGGAACCTAAAAACCACCACTGCCAAGGACTGCACTCTGCATTTTTTCCTTCCAAACGGCAAGTGTTTTCATTACTGTGCAAAAACAAACACCAGCTGATTATAAGGAAACCAAGCATGACTCATGCTTATCTAACAGAAGATGTAAAAATGCAATGGTTTGAGAGCGGGCACGTAGCTGGGATTATTATGAGCAGAATTCCTCATCAGGCAAGCAGTAATGCAACCGACAAAGCAAACTCTCCTCCACCACCCAAAGCTCCAGCCGCAATAAATGATGCTAGGCTTCCAGGTGCCACAAGATGACAGCATGTGGCGAAAATGTTAAAGAGGGGGGTGGAGAGAAATAGCTAAGGAAGAGGACATAAAACAAGGTAACATGTGAGCGAGCTGCTCCAAATGAGGAGCAGCCCCTTTGTTTTCTTCACTTTCAGGTCACCAGGAAGGAGAGAGGAAGGAGACGCAGGCAAGGGAGATGCTCCTCAGCCACAGAGGCCCTGACAGGAAAGGTGACAACCGGCCCAGCCCAGCCCAGCCACCCCCTGGATGCTACAGGGGGGTATAACAGCATCGCGGAGTCGGAAGGGGTCCCAGGGGTCATCTAGTCCAACCCCCCGCAATGCAGGAATCTCAAGGAGCTCACCCATGACAGGTGGAGCACCCAACCTCTCTGCTTGTGAGGGAGGCCGGCTCCTCGCTCCCTAACCCAACATCCTAAAATAAAATTTTAAAAAAGGTGGGGATGGCAGAAAGAGAGATGAGGGAGAGAAATGGCTCATAGGGACCAAATCCCGTCTCCTCCATCCCTGCTGTGTGTGACTCATAGGCACCACCATCGCTCCTCGAGGGCCTGGCCCCGTTCTCTACACACACACACACCCACACACACCACACATACACCCGTCCCCTTGGCAACGAGGCCCACACCCCTCCCGCGGCGTTGCCAAGCACCCTGCAACGGCCTCGGCCTCCCCTCGCCATTCATTCCCGCCTTGGCAAGGCTGAGGGGGAAAGCGTAGGCCTCGTTGGCGCCCGTCTCTCTCTCCCCCCCGCGCCGCTCCCCGCCGCTCACCTTTGTGTACAGCTCGGACGCTGCCATGGCTGCAGCGGCGCTGCAGGGGCTGCTCCGGGCGGCCGGCCGCGATGGCAGCGGCTCTTCGCCTCCGGGCTGGAGCGAGGGAAGCGGCGAGGGAGGGAGGGAGGGAGGCCGGCCAGCCAGCCAGCCGGGGCGGGCGGGGCGCAGGGCGGGGCGCGCGCCGAGAGAGGCCTCCCCGCTCACGGCTGCCGTTTCTCCTCAGGAGGCGGCCGGGCTGGCCTCGCCATGTTGCTACCTGGGAAGGGCGAGGAGGATGGGGGTGATGCAGGCGCGCAGCCGGCTCCCTCCTCCTCCTCCTCCTCCCGCTCCGGCTGCGGGGGCTCTCCGTGCATTGTGGGTACCAGCCGGCGCCGGAGAAAGGGAAGGCGGCCGCCGGGCGGCTCTCTCTCTCGTGGGCGCGCGCTGCCTCCCACCGGCCGCGCGGGCGAAGTGTCGGCGGGCCGAGGCGATGGAAGGAGAAGCCTCGGACCCGGGCCGAGTCCGGCCTCCCGCAGAAACCCAGAAGAACCTGCGGGCGGGGTGTTGTTTTTGTGCTTATTGAGAAAAGGCTTCGCAGATTTGCATCGCGAGCCTCGGTTATCCATCCTTTCTCGGATGCATCCTTTCCGTGAGCGGGGCAGGATTTAGGTTTGGTGAGGCCCTAAGCTACTGAAGGTACAGTGGTACCTCGGGTTACATACGCTTCAGGTTACAGACTCCGCTAACCCAGAAATAGTGCTTCAGGTTAAGAACTTTGCTTCAGGATGAGAACAGAAATCGGGCTCCGGCGGCGCGGCAGCAGCAGGAGGCCCCATTAGCTAAAGTGGTGCTTCAGGTTAAGAACAGTTTCAAGTTAAGAACGGACCTCCGGAACGATATAAGTACTTAACCCGAGGTACCACAGTAATGGGGCCGTTTATATGTCCAGCTGTGTCAACAACAAATTGTCGCTGTTTTTTGTGCTGAATATATGCTATATGGTCGTTTATGGACCTAATAGGTATCTAAAGCCATTTACACATGCAGAATGTAAGCACCCTATATATAAAGGTAAAGGGACCCCTGACCATTAGGTCCAGTCGTGACCGACTCTGGGGTTGTGGCGCTCATCTCGCTTTATTGGCCAAGGGAGCCGGCGTACAGCTTCCGGGTCATGTGGCCAGCATGACTAAGCCGCTTCTGGCAAACCAGAGCAGCACATGGAAACGCTGTTCACCTTCCTGCCGGAGTGGTACCTATTTATCTACTTGCACTTGATGTGCTTTCAAACTGCTAGGTTGGCAGGAGCTGGGACCGAGCAACGGGAGCTCACCCCATTGCGGGGATTTGAACCGCTGACCTTCTGATTGGCAAGTCCTAGGCTCTGTGGTTTAACCCACAGCACCCCCAGAATCCCACCCTATATATATATAGAAATGAGCAAACCTTTGATATTTTAGGGAGCAGATGAGGCCCATTACTTACACCATAGGAGCCTACACAACACAAAATGCTGCTGCTGTATGTAGGTTGTATTTTATTTGGTTTTTCATCTTATATTTTGGAAATGTAGATCCAGGTTTTTTTACTTTAATTTTTTGGGGGGCCCCCAAGAGCGTGGGGCTCTAAGCTATAGCTTGTTTAGCTTATACGTAAATCTGGCACTGTCCATGAGGCTCAGCTGGGCCTTTCTGCGCCCAGATAAGTTCAGCAAGCAATGAATGGGGCCATACGGCGTCCTTGAACAGACCAAAAAGTACAGTCGAGTCATTGACTGCGCTGTTTGCATTCTGTTGCCAATTGATCCCCTGGATGCTGGGAGCCAGCCAGAGTGGCTAGGGCAACCCTGTCAGATGAGTGGGGTTCAAATTTATTATTAATTTTTATAAATATATTTTTTCTGTACACCCATGCCTGTGTGTGCTTGATGGATATATTTGTGTTTTTATCTTGTATTTTTATGCTGTGAACCGCCTTGATCTATGGTTGAATGGGCATAATAAAGATTTAATAAATAAATATGCATATGCACACACACCTGCCAAGTGAAGGTAATGCTTCATGCAACTGATGAAGGGAACTCCAGGAAAAAGGTGGGCCACAATAAATTGGTTAGGCCTCAAGGTGTCACAAGACTCCTTGCTTATCTTTCTGCAACAGAAACCCAGCTAGTCTTTTGAAAGCTATTCCCAGGTCTGTGTGCATAGGGCTATAGATGCATAAACCACAGAGCCTAGGGCTTGCCGATCAGAAGGTCAGCGGTTCGAATCCCTGCGACAGGTGAGCTCCCGTTGCTCGGTCCCTGCTCCTGCCAACATAGCAGTTCGAAAGCACGTCAAAGTGCAAGTAGATAAGTAGGTACCGCTGCGGCAGGAAGGTAAACGGCATTTCCATGTGCTGCTCTGGTTTGCCAGAAGTGGCTTAGTCATGCTGGCCACATGACCCAGAAAAACTGTCTGTGGACAAAAACTGTCTGGCTCCCTCGGCCAGTAAAGCGAGATCAGCGCTGCAACCCGAGTTGTCTGCGACTGGACTTAACAGTCAGGGGTCCCTTTACCTTTACCTTTAAGCTTTACTGAAGACAGTGGTGTTTATGAGTATACATGGTTACATAGTATTACTATGTTACAGTGGAATCCTAAGGATATTTAGTCAGGAATAAGTTCCAATAAAATTCATTTCCCAGGTACATTTAGGATTGCAGTCTTTTGAGTGGGGGATGCTTTCATAAACCTGTTAGAGTCAGCTTTAAGCAGTTACATGAAATGTTAACTTCAACTAGATCTGGGCAAGTTTCTGCAAGATTTCAGCTTCACGGAGATAATATTTCATATATCTCAGGAAGTTGGCTCTAGTCCACTAAAGTGTATGCCATACTTAGTAGATTTGTTACAGGGCATTCTTAAGCGTTTTACTCAAAAGTAAGTCCCATTGAGTATATAGAAATTTACTCCATACTAATAAGCTAACACTTGCCTTCTATTAACTATGCAGTCCAAACCCCAAACCCACCAGGTTGGAGAGGATTAGGCTATGGAGCAACCACCCCTTCCCTTGGCAATAGGGAACCCCCATTGGAAGAAATACCCTCACCCTAGCAGTGGAAAACATGCACAATGTAGAAATCCATTCACTTACTGGCAGACAGAAGTCTTGCCTGCCATTGATCTGCTTGGAGTAATGTCCAAAACAAGGAGACATGAAGGGGATGCAGCATGCACAGGAGTGAAGGATACATACATATTCAAATCCTGCTCAGACTGCTGCCATGTCATTACAGCCAGGCAGATCCATGCTATCCAAAGGAGGGGCATATATGGACATACCCCAAAGGAAATAATGGTCTGGGCCTGATTCAGGCCCCTGCCCCATCTGGCGGCCATGTGTATGCCAGCATGAGAACCCTCTCTGGATGTGGAGGGGGCCCCACAACCAAAAATGCACAGCACTGATAGGACATAAACCCCATATGCACCAGTCACAAATACTAGTTGCCCCTTGCAGTGATTCTGCTCTTTTCTGGAAGGCTGGTCTCACCTAAGTGACATCAAACAGATGGTGGCTATCAGTGACAGGACTTTTTTTAGTCCAGATAGCAAGATTGTGGAATACCTTCCTAGTTGGTAATCCACTAGGCACCTCCTCTTCTAGCTTTCAGCTTTATGCTTAAAGAGCCTTTATATTTCAATGCAGTGCTTGCCATTTAAAAAAAAGTGTTAGATTTTTTTGTTTGCAGAATTGTTCTTTATCTGCTTACTAATCCTTTTAAATTTTTGTTTTTCCATACCATTTCCTTATTTTGTTGTTTTGTTAACTCTTGGAAGTCACTTTGTGTATGTTTAACAGAAAAGCAAGGTAATAATAAGAAGCATTTATCCCCAAGTAACTGCACATCTAATCACAACCGTTGCTGCTTCCTCTTAAGAACCCTCTCTGATGACAATCTCCAAATAACTATCAAATCCTGTGTTTCATCAGTACGTTCCATTGCTGTCAATGTGGACTTACTGTGGAAGTATATTTTGAATTGATCACTGCGTAAGATTACACAATGCAGTTGCAATGCATTTCAGGCATGCAGACTAATCATTTGAATGCTTGCACAAGAGCAAGACCCCGTGAGTTCAGTAGGCTTTCTTCTAGGTACAGTAAGTAGTCATGGGTCAGTAGTAGCTTTACATCCCTTTCATCTCAGCTTAGCTTACTCCCAAGTAAACCTGCAAAATGTCCCACTAAAGTCAGACATACGTCTTACTAAACAGGCTTGATATATAGCCATGTATTTCAGACAGGTACCCCCAAACTCAGCCCTCCAGATGTTTTGGGGCTACAGTTCCCATCATCCCTGACCACTGCTCCTGTTAGCTAGCGATGATGGGAGTGGTAGTCCCAAAACATCTGGAGGGCCGAGTTTGGGGATGCCTGGTTTAAGAGCTCAGGAATAGCATGAAATGTTAAGAGTAGGGTATAGTGAATATATAGTGGTTGCCTCAAAATGAAGACACACAGTGTATCAAGAAGTGTGCATGCACACGAAAGCTCATACCAAGAACTAACTTAGTTGGTCTTTAAGGTGCTACTGGAAGGAATTTTTTTTGTTTTGACTATGGCAGACCAACACGGCTACCTATCTGTAACTCAAAATGAAGAGGCATTCAAATTCAGCTGTTGTTGGAAATTAAAGGAGCATCCAGCTGCTGTAATTAAGAGGGGGTTTATGTCCAGGAATACAGCATGCTAGCAGTGAGAGTGGCTGTAAAGCATACACTTGGGGAATCATCAGTTCATGTAATTTAGAGAAATGGGGACTTGAGGCGCATCCAGTCGCTGTAAAAGACCAGACTTAAGACTCTTAGGCTAGATATGTTTAAAAGCCAGTCCTAACCACTTATTAATAAGTAAATTGGGCAGAAAGTGGCACTTGGAGGACCCTCTGCATCCTATTGGTTTCAGAGGGACTTGTTTCAAGTATGACCAGGGCTGTAGCCATGCAGCTTATTCCGAAGGAGAAGGAGGATGTTCACCTCATAGGCCTTTGGACCGTATTGATGGAACCTTCTTTGAAATAAATGTTATCATGATTTGTTGATTTAGGTAGTAATACAACACTCAGGGTGGCACTGTGGTCTTAGGTAGACTCCAAATGCTAAAAGGGGGAGCAGATTACTG